GGATAATTTATAAAGGAAAGTGATTTAATTGACTGACAGTTATGCATGGCTGAGAAGGCCTCAGGAAACTTACAATCATGGTGGAAGGGGGAGCAAACATGTCCTTTTTCACATGACGGCAGGAAGGAGAAGTGTGAGAACAAAGCAAAGGGTGAAGGCCTTTATATAAGCATGAGATCTCACCCCTTATATAAGCATAAAATCTCATGAGAACTTACTCACCATCACACGAATAACATTGGGGAAATTGCCCCCATGATTCAATTATCTCCAACCAGCTCTCTCCCAGACACATAGGGATTATAGGAACTGCAATTCAAGAAGAGATTTCAGTGGGGATATAGCCAAACCATATCACCCCATTTCACCCTTGGAGGACACAACAAGATGCTGTCTAGGAAGCAGAGAGTCCTCACTAGACACCAAATCTGCTGGCACTGTGATCTTGGACTTTCCAGCCTTCAGAACTATGACCAATAAATTTATGTTGTTTGTGAATTACCCAGTTGAAGGCAAAGGTTATAGCAGTTCAAATGCTCTAAGATGATGTCTTTTTCCATACTAGAGATTATTTTTGTAGGTTATACAAATACTTCTGAAGAACATTTAAAGCTACATGTCAGTCATACCATAGTGTAGGCATAGATATGTAACAAATTTATCTCCACTCTATTCCACTCTGATAACTAAGAGTAGACTTGAATGGAAGGTTGAAGGAGGAAGGCAAAATTAAAAGGATAAATAGAGCATAAAATACTATTTTGGAAGGGCAGATGTGGGTAATTGATGGCATGAGCGAGAGCATTAGACCTCAGAGAAAGAAGACACAGGTAGAATCAAACACCAGTGATAAATTTTACTCACAAATAACACAATTCAGTTAAGTTAGCTCTAGTTTGAACACAAAGGGTTTTCGTCATTTTATTTTTTATAAAACCTATGAATAATATATTATTGGCCAAAATATTTTGCTTAGTTTCTTTGATGTGAAAGTCATTTTTTTTCAAAGGAGCTCATGTTTTCATATATGTTACTTCCCAGCTCACTAATTTATTCAAGTTAACTATAGACACTATATATACATTCTCATTTTTTAAAACTATTGAGAGGAAAAAAGCCTCCACTATTCTAAATATTTGGTATTTCTTCCTCAAAGATTCCCCGATGAACAGTATGCAATTCTAACGTTTTATAATCCCTAACACTCTACAAAGGAAAGAACAACATTTTGGCTACTAGAAATCTCTCTATAATGACACTGCCATCCTGAAGGAGTAGTGAACAGTGAGACAGGCTACTTTCCAAGAGGTCTTGGTAAAATGGGCTACATCTCATTTTATACCAGATATTATCTTTTGTCTATTCAATATGGAAATGAGCAATCTCATTTAGCAAAGTTTTGAATGCATTATTTCAAAACTGCCATTGCATGAGCCATAGAAATTATAGCCGCAGTCTTCTCAATCTCGTTTCAAATGTCATTGATATTTGCCTTCAGTTACCTTTTTTTTTCTTTGAAAGCATAAACTCTATCTTCTCCTTTTTTTCATCTTAAGTACACATATCTAGATTTCCCTGGGAATAACAACTTAACTTTGTCTGTAACTTTTTGAAATACAGTATGGTAGTGCTAATTCACACACAAGATTGTAAACTTCCCATAATTCTAAATTGTGTCCTATAGCACTCTTAATTAATGGCTGAATTTAATGTGTTCCTTTTTAGTTCTTCTATACCTAGTCCCAGCAAAGTCATAGAAAGGTCTCTAAGGAGATTAAAAATTAACACTTTAAGTAATAACAAGACTATGGAATGAAATATAAAGATAAGAAGAGGGAAGATAAGAAATATAGATTTCAGCAAATGTTATCCCTGGAAATATTTTTTTAGCAAAGTTTTGAATGCTTTAGGTGGATCCTTATCTCACTCTACATTGCACTCAGCACAATGTCCAACTCAAAGGGCATTTCATATATGCCTATTGATGACACAGATAGGATGGCTATTACCAGAAAAAGAAGCCCAAATTGCCAGGTTTTATTAAGCCCATTTTTGTGTATTCTCTCTCAAATTCCTAAGTTATTTAGAATAACAGAACATTATAATTTCCCATTTATTTTCTGGGCCAAAATGCTATTTTTTTAAACATTCTCAACATCCATCTCTGGAAAATGTAAATTAGGATCTTGGATGATCATACATGGAGTTGAGTAATCCTCATCTTTGAAAGTTCCCATTTGCAAGTACTCATATATACTTCCTGGGAAGTTGAACAGGTTCGTGATATAAAAGGACATTCTCTGAGGTGTAGTAACATAAAAATGTTTCTGATGCACTACAACAATCCCATTGAAACTTAACTTCAAAATAAACACCAGTGCTCCTGAAAGGGAACACCGTAAAATAGCCTGGGATGTAGCTGCAATTCCAAGACCAAAGTGTGTTTGGAGGATACAATTAGACTCCAACAGGACTTGCACTGACAGTGGAATCCATGCTGGTCTAGTCTCCCGGACACCATCTGCAAATTTTGTGGAAACACCAAGGGCAAAACCCCTAAGGGATGTAACACCACTGTTGGCCCCAAGGGGTGTGGCAGTACATCCCTTGGCTGAATGAAATCAGGATCATCCTCTTTTTTACCTCACTAAACCTGGGCATGTAACTTGCAGCAGAAGCCACAGACTTCTGGTTTTTCTTCTAGCATCAGAGCCCTGTCTTCCCCACAGACACAGTGACTCCTCAGGCAAGTGAATTCCCTTGATTGCGGCAGCACTGCCTCTGGCCACTAAGATGTTGGAGAGTTTTATCCCAAATGGGTCACAGACCTCCAGGTGAAAAGCACATTCCTAGGTTGATGAGCACATTCCTAGGTTGATGAGTATCTTTAAGGTTTGCATAAAAAATCGGAGGAATAAACCAAGGAAAAGGGTGATTTTTTTTTTACTATGTAATAGGTGGGGGCTTAGAGCAATGAGACCGGGAGGAAAATGTAAACATGGCCTTGTCTGATACTGAGTTGACTGACTGGTATATCTAAACTTTTTGTCTCCATAATCCAACCTGCAGGAACTCTGGAGATTATCTGGAATAAAAACAAACTAACAAATAAAACTAATGGCACTGCAGAGTTGTACTTAGAATTATACTAAATTAAAACGTCCACTCAGTGGTACATGTATAAAGAAGTGTCGTTTTTTCAGTTGCCCTACTTTTCCTGCAAAGTGTCTGTGAGCTACTTGAATAGGGCTTAGTACACCAGAATTGTCCCAACTAACCTTCCTGCAGAGGAAGTGAACATCCCTCAAACTGAATACTGATCTCCATGAGTTTATTTTCCTCTCTTCTGAGACCATCCTGCTCCCCTTGCCCTCTTTCAGCTGATGCCTCAAAGTCATGATTTTCATATTGAATAGCCTGACATTCTTAAAGCATTGACTCACCTCCTTGCTTACCGTCACCACCTTTTCTCCTGCTCCTCTGTTCATTCAGGTGCTACGTTCTTGATCAACTTGTAGAGAGTCATTTCAAGCTCCCAGATGTCTCCAGCCAATCCATTGAGTCTTTGCCTAATGGCACTTCTAATTGCATGATGTTCAGTGGATTTTTTTCTTTCTAATTTTAAAGGACATGAAATTGGAAAGGTGTAAAGAAAATAACTGCATTTTAAAATAAACAAAAGGCTGTACTAATTTGGATATTATAAACTTTATTTTAATTTTTCTACATTTATGATCAGAAACGTTACAAAAACTATTCTGATTTCATCATTATTTTGGCAAAATAATTACACACTAAATAAAAATATGCAAAACCTTATTAATTTGTGTCATATAGGTTCATTTTTTGTTGGGTATGGATAAATTACATCTTTTGGAAAAGATTTAAAGGAAAAAGAGAACCAAAATATCTAAAATCAAATATGTACCATAAACCTAATAATTAGAAAATATAATAGTGCAGCAAAAAGTAAAAACAATATGAAGTATGAGTAATGGGAGGATAGCATTTTTCATAAGACTCAGTCGAAGTTATTGGCTCACTACACCTCCATGCCAGAGTAGCCAATAATACAAGATCCTATTATCTTCACATGTCAATCCCACCAAAACCTAGCGAGAAATGACAAGTGGCATTTCACTGCAGGAGACTAAATGAACATTTGAAGAAAATGAAGCTACTTTGATTCAAGGATCACATGAATCTGTGCAGTAGCAAACAGGAAAATATAGGCTAGTGCTATATAAATATAGCTGACAAAAACTCCACATCTTTAATATCTGAATTGTATAGACAATTATAGACAGACAGCATAAAATTATCAGTACCTTGGATAACAAGGCTGACACAAGTGAATGATCACATCAGTGTGGTTACCAGGCTTGTTTGCAACAGAAAGCAGGATTAAAAAAACAACCAAACTCCATATTGTACATGCAAAAATGAGGATAGAGGCATTTAACATATGTAATCTAAATTAAATATGGCTCTAATTTTCAAATTAGGAAGGCATACCAAATTGCTATTGCAAAGATATCCAGAAAGCAATGGTTCAAATAAGATAGAAGTTTACTTCTTAAAAGACTGGTGTGCAGGCTCCATTCCTTCACGCTATCTAAGGTTCAGGCTAGAATAACAGCTCTACTCACTTGTACATTGCACAAGTGAGTTTCCAGCCAGGAATACCAGTGAAAAAGAGAAAGAGGGCATGAAAAATACTGTGTTAAAGCTCAGTCCAAAGGACTTTTCATTTATGCTAACATTCCACTGGAAGAAGTAGAGAACAGAATTTGGTATATAGATAGCATAATTGAATTTAATAGGAGGGCTACATATAAATAAAACTACATTTTATTTTTGGTTTGAGAGAAATAGATGGTTGGAGAATGTTTGGAGGGATGATTGTCATTTATTAATAGTTTTATAAATACTGTGTAATTCATTTGATCTAGTTTGTGCAAAGACTGGTAACCGATGTTTTTTCATGAACATATACTTACAGGCCATACTCTCAACTGCTTTTGTCCGTCTGATCCATTCATTTTCATCATTTCCCTACTAATAAAATATTGGAGACATGGCAGAAGGTTTCATGACAACTGTCAGGATTTCCTGATTTGGGAAAAGACGGAATATACTATTAATCTTATGGCAATATATCCAAAAGCAGAGTTCAAAGAGCATATTTAACATGAATCTTTTGAACTAGATCATTTGAAAGTCATAAGAATCCAAGTACTACTCTTTTAGTTTCCCATCACATTGATCTCAGTAACATACAAATAAGGAGAATAGGTTATTCTAAAAAAATAAAAAAAATAGAATGACTCTGCCTCTTCTGACCTGCAAGCAGTGGCAGCATCTTTGGAATGCTGCATAGAAACAGGACTGCACCATTTTAAAAGACACTTCTATCAGTATTTCTTAGGATTTTAAGTTCATTTCACTGGCAAGAAACTGCTCCTTTACACCTATAAAAATAAATGTCTTCTAGCACAGTTTTATTTGTATATCAGTATTTCTTATGTTAAGTAGAACACAGTAAGGAAAAGAGCATAGCAAACACCTTATACTCTGGTTAAACATACAGGCTTTGCAGACAGGCCAGTGTGTACCCACTACTTGCTAGTTTTGAATCCAGCCAAGTTGTTAAAACGTTTAGGGCTCAGTTTTCTCAGCTGTAAAAGGGATATTGTGCATATTTTATGGTATGATTTGAGGATTAAATGAGAGGATATGCAGAAAGCACTTAGAACAGTACCTGGCACATGGTAAGCAGCCAAAAAGCATTTGACAGTTATTTACTGTTGTTTACACTCTGATTGACCCTGGGTTTAAGAACAATCTTGACCATTATTATAAATCACTGTAAAATATTGCTGCAGTCTCTTCACAGGTCTACAATCTGAATGTCTTTCATTAGTATTTAAATTGATAGTAAATATGTACACTTCCAAAGCATTTCAAGATTATGTTTTCCTATATGTTTCAGCGGTGACTGATGGCCAAAACATCCGAGACTCCCTATGCCTGGGAAACTGGTAATGAAGCTTATAGAGCTTATTGAAAGTGCCATTTAACAAAATATATTAGCCCATTCCAAATGTCATCTCTAGCTCTATTGTATTTCAAGTTAAACGCCATGCAAACACAGATCTAAAAGGCTCCATTACTTGCTTATTTTCAAGGGCATGAGGCAAAATGTCACCAGTTTACAAAGTAAAAACTAGAGTCTCTATCTAGTGCCTCAGACAAAATGGCGGAAAGCAAGCTAGGCACAGAACAGTCACTGGTAATGATTCACCACTTATTAGGAATAATTGACATTTCGTGATTTCCAAATCTTCTTTCAAAATGTAATCTGTTCATTTCATTATTTTATGGTATATTTTTTGTATCCATTAACTTAACATTTCCTTTCACACTCAGTGGGGGAGGTTTCTCTCTCCTGAAATGTCACCCTACATAAATAAGTGTAGTGCAAGCCTTCCATCACTGTAATAGTTAAACGATGGCAAAGCTGAGCAGTTGAAACAGAAAGAGAAGTCACCTTGACAGTCCTGTAACTGGGAAAAGCAGCTTAAGGCACCAGATCTTTGACTGTGAATTAGTTGAATGAGGTTATATCTATTCACCAAACAAAATATATTAAAATAATATTCCAGCTTTGAGACAAATCAAAGAAATTCTTCTTGGAGATTTTAATACTCTGTCTATTGCAATAAAACATACATATTTCTGAAAATAATGAAAAAAGAAATCATAGTTTCTCCACATTATGCAGATTATTGATGTCACTTTTACAAAAGAATGTGGCTAAAAAAAAAAAAAAAAATAGGTGAAGTGTTTGCTCTTGACCCTTAGTATAAATTCTAGGAATTCTTAAGGGTTTAAGTTTTGCTTTGTTGTTGTTACTGTTTAATATCTCATAATAGGTATTAGAAAACCATTTAATTAGGCAATGTGGTATATTTGAAGTTGTGCTATCCAAAATGCACATTAGATAAAAATAAACAAAGGCCAAGAAACTTAGAAAATAATGATGCCACTATAATATACAGATTACTGGGGCAGGATTTTTTTTCCTGAATTAAACACATAATTTTATTAAAATGCAATTTGGCATAACTATTGCATTTTTAAACATTGTCCTTATTATTTTTTGCCCACTCCAGGAAATGACAGCACTTCACTTTATATAAAATGAAGCTAATTTTTAGATCACCTTGAGTCATGAAAATACAGAATATTTTATAATTTTTACCTGGGACAAAGACTTCATTTTAATGATTTGAACAGAAATTAAACTGCCACCTCAATGTTATTGACATTTAAATCCCATGTGAGAAATACTGCATGACCCAATAAAGAAAATTAGAGCGCTTTTTGTAAAAAATTAGAACTCTCAGTCTTAATGTTTATTGCCTATCAAACAGATTTTTCCTAAATTTAATGAAATGTAATATGTTCCTGCTTTGATGCATTAACATTTCGCATCATACTTTCAATGATGTGGTGATTATTGCTTTAAAATTAAATTTAACTTCGGCGTTCCTCAAAGTTGAAGTTCAAGAGCTATTTAGTTGTATACAATTTTTCTGGAAGTGAAAGAAATATGAAAAAAGGTGCTGAGGTGAAGTGCTTAGGAATATGCCTTGTGACACCACAATAGGCACACAGAGTTGCTTCATGGAATAGTAACAGAGTAACTTGTTTTGATGGATGCGATAGAGACCCTTTTAGTAAATTCAGGTGCCAGGTAAGTAGGAAATAAAACAAAAATTAAGAGCCCACGCATGGACTCTAGATACACGCTAAGGCATCTTTGTGACAGGTGACACAGAGGGGAATTGATATGATTTGGCTGTGTCCCCACCCAAATCTCTTCTTGAATTGTAGCTCCCATAATTCCCACATGTAGTGGGAGGGACCCAATGGGAAGTAATTGAATCATGGGGGTGGTTCATTCCTGTGCTGTTCTCAGGATAGTGAATAAGTCTCAGGAGAGCCAATGGTTTCATAAACGGCAGTTCCCCTGCACAAGCCCGCTTGTCTGCCGGCATGTAAGACATGTCTTTGCTTCTCTTTTGCCTTCCACCATGATCATGAGGCCTCCCAAACCATGTGGAAATGTGAGTCCATTAAACCTCTTTCCTTTATAAATTACCCAGTCTCGGGTACATCTTTATTAGCAGCATGAAAACAGACTTACACAGCACTGCTCACCTCTCATTGGAATTTCCAGTAACACCTGATCTTTCAGCTAGGAATCCCTGTCCAAAACAGTTCTTCCCAATCGTTTATTGCCTATGCATAGGATGCTTATAGTTTCTCTCTAATTTTAGAAACACACACATTCACAGATCCTCACATGTTTGGTTAATAGGAATTTGTTTTAACATCTTACCATTTAGACTTACTACTCTTTTCCTTCACATAAAACACAATAAAAACAAAATTAATGTCATAAGCCTCTTGCCATAGCACTGAAAAATCCAGAACCACCTGATGGAACATCAAGAGATGAAATTTTTAAATGTGTCTATGTTCTATTTATATATATTTGTGGTTTCTGAAGTTTAAATATTTATTTACCGGTATATATCAGTGGCGATTTTATTTACTAAATTAAAAATAATGCAGCATAGTGTGACACATACAAGCATACTTATGAAGAAAATATAAGAGAACTTTTTTGAAATGAGGGTTTCTTTTTTTGCAATTTCATTAGCTGTTAGGTTACAAGTGGTTTTTGGCTACATGGATGAATTGTATAGTGATTAAGCCACAGAATTTGGTGCATCCTTCACCTGAACAGTGTACATCATACCCAATATTATTCCTCACCCCTTCCAAGTCTGCCCCTTTTGACTCTCCAGTGTCCATTATACCACTCTATATGCCTTTGCATACCCATAGCTTAACTCCCACTTAAAAATGAGAACATATGGTATTTGGGTTTCTATTTCTGAGTTATTTCACTTAGAATAATGGCCTTTAGCTCCATCCAAGTTCCTGCAAAAGACATAATTTCATTATTTTTGTGGCTGCATAGGATAGTGCATATATACCACATTTTCTTAACCACTTGTCAGTTAATGGACACTTAGGTTAGTTCCATATCTTTGCAATTGTGAATTGTGCTTTGATAAGCATATATGTGCAAGTGTCTTTTTGATAGAATGACTTTTTCTCTTTTGGGTAGATATCCAATAGTAGGATTGCTGGATTAAATTTGTAGATCTACTTTTAGTGCTTTGAGAAATCTCCATAGTGTTTTCCATAGAAGTTGTGTGAATTTACATTCCCACCAGCGATGTATAAGTGTTTTCTTTTCACCACATCCACACCGACACCTATTACTTTTGAATTTCTGATACTGACCAATCTGGCTGGGGTAAGACGGTATCTCGTTGAGGTTTTAATTTGCATTTCCCTGATGATTAGTGATATTGAGCACTTTTTCATGATTTTTGGCCATTTGTAGATCTTTTGAGAAATGACTCATCATGTCATCTGCCCACTTTTTAATGGAATTATTTGCTTTTTTCTTGCTGATTCATTTGAGTTCCTTCTGGATTCTGAATATTAGTCCTTCATTGCATAAATACTTTGCAAATATTTTTCCCCATTCTGTGGGTTGTCCGTTTACTCTGGTAATTATTTCTTTTACTTACAGAAGCTTTTTAGTTTAATCAAGTCCCATTTATTTAGTTTTGTTTTTGTTGCATTTGCATTTGGAATCTTAGTCATAAATTATTTGCCTAAGTCAATGTCCAGAAAAGTTTTTCTTTTAGAATTTTTATGTATTCAGGTCATATATTTAAGTCTTTAGCAAAATGAATTTTAAAAAATCACAAACTAAGTATCTGCTGTCTTCAAGAGACTCACCTAACACATAAGGATTCTTTTAGACTCAAGGCAAAAGGGTGGAAAAATATATTTTATGCAAATGGAACCAAAAAGTGAGCAGGAATAGCTATTCTATATCAGATAACACAGACTTTAAAGTGACAGCAGAAACAATGACAAAGAAGGTCGTTATGTAATGATAAAAGGATCTATCCAACAAGAAGATATTATAATTCTAAATATATTTGCAGCTATCCCTGGAGCTCCCAGATTCATAAAACAGTTGCTACTTAACCTATGAAAAGTGATATGTAGCAACACAGTAATAATGTGGGACTTCAACATTGCTCAGAAAGCACTAGACAGATCATCAAGGTAGAAAGTCAATAAACTAAAAAACACTGGACTTAAGCTCCACTGTAGAATACATGGACCTAACAGATAATTACAGAGCATTCTACTCAAGAACTGCAGAATATGCATTCTTCTCATTAACACATGGAACATTCTCAAAGATAGATTATATGATATGCCACAAGACAAGTCCCAATGAATTTTTAAAAATCAAAATCACATCAAGTATCTTCTTAGAGTACTGTGGAATGAAACTAGAAATAAACTCTGAAATGAACCCCCAAAACTTTACAAATATATGGAAGTTAAACAGTCTGCTCCTGAATGACTTTTAACATTAAAATAAAGATAGAAATTTAAAAATTATTCAAAATGAATAATAATTGTGACACAAATAATGAAAACCTCTGAGATACAGCAAAAGCAGCACTAAAAAGAAAGATTATAGCACTAAATGCCTACATCAAAAAGTCTTAAAGATCACAAATCAAGGAACATCACACCTCAAAGAACTAGAGAAACAAGGACAAACAAAACCCAAAGCTAGCAGAAAAAAAGAAATAACAAAGATCAGAGTAGAATGAAATGAAAGAGAAGTAAAAAAATATAAAAGATCAATGCAACAAAAGTTGGTTCTTTGAAAATATAAACGAAACTAATAGAATGCCACCTATTAATAGATTAAACTAAAGAAGAGGGAAGATTCAAATAAACTTAAATAGAAATGAAAATGGTGACATTACAACTGACACCACAGAAATACAAAAGATCATTCGAGACTACTGTGAACACCTCTATACACACAAACTAGGAAATATAGAAGAAATTGATAAATTTCTGGAAAGCCCCTTTGCTTGAATCAGGAAGACACAGAAATCCTGAAAACGTCAATAACAAACAGTGAGATAAAATAAGTAGTAAAAAAATGGCCAAGAAAAACAAAAGCCCATGGCCAGATGTATTCACACCTAAATCCCACCAGATATTCAAAGAAGAATTGCTATCAATTAAACTAAAACTACTCCAAGAGATAAGAGAGAGTCCTCTCTAACTGACTATGAAGCCATTATCACCCTGATAACAAAGCCAGGAAATGACATAACAAAAATGAAACCAGAATTTCTTTTGGAAAACGAGGTATATTGTTTCCTGGGCCTCATGGTGCCTTGTGGAGGGGCTATATGGCTGAGCAGGATACTGGCAGGGCCAGTCCCAGACTGAACTGGGGTTTTATCCCAAACCAGATCAGAGTAAAAGGGTAAAAATATTGGATTAATATGGATCTAACCATCAGCCTAAGGTTGATCCTGGAAGTTCCATCAACATAAGCATTGATAACTTTGCTGAAAGCAAATTCTTAAAGAGCCAAGCCTGACAATTGTCTTCATATTTCAATGACCTTTTAAAACTATTACAATAAATCCATAAAACGGCTATAAGCTGCTATACTATAATAGAGCCAATGGATATCCTGACATTTTCCCCTCTGTACTATCTTTTTTGGTTCCATAAGCAATGCTATAAATTTTAAGTACAACCACTCTTTTATAGAAAAAAGTTATTTAACATAAAAATCAGCCTTCAGCATTGTTTGACCTCAATATTACCAAATTATAAATTCCTTTATTCTCAGCCAAGCAATGTGCAGTTTCTCATATTCTACACAATTATTTCATTGTCTCTATCAAGCCAATTTATACCAGAAAAGCAAAAGATACAATAAGCTTCTTATTAGCTTAAACTATTTGAATAATTAATTAAATTCTCTGTTTTACTTGACTTGTGTAAATAAAGCCATTGATGACTGTTCAACTATCTTTCTTTAGATGATGTTCTTTCTCTGGACTTACGGTCCCTGATGAAGTAGCCCCTGTATCACTTTTGATTGCCTTGTCTCTACATAATAAATATCACGATTATCAGTTTACTATTGGATTGATTTAAAACTCCAGGTTAATGTTTAGGTCTATTGTAGTGTTCATATTTTTCCATAGACTAGATTGACAGATAGAAAAATCTGATTTCCTCATATTATCAAGACTCATCTACATGGTAAGACACTAGAAGCAATTATCCTTTCAACCTGTTCCACAGGAAAGGAAACAAAGTGAGCTTTGTCTTCTGGCATAATTGCTTATGGCTTATCCCTACAAAGCTTTACAAAAATGGAAAGGTGGTAAATGCCCGGATGAACTGATCGAAGCATACAATCACAAAAAATTATTTTTCACATCCTTTCTTATCCAGACTTACATTTACAACACTGAATCCATTAATTCCCAGGTTTCTGCTTTTCTCAGCTTCTTGAAGACAGATTCTAAAAAAAGAAAAGAAAACTTATTATCCAGTCTGCTGGTACTCTAGAAGAAGCCCAGTGTGAGTTCAAAGTACACTTTGCCCTTGCAATTTTAGTATTTGAAGATCTATTAAATATTATAAAAAGTTGGCTGGGCACCTGTAATCCTACCACTTTAGGAGGCTGAGGCAGGCGAATCACGAGGTCAAGAGTTCGAGACCAGCCTGGCCAACATGGTTAAACCCGTCTCTAGTAAAAATACAAAAATTAGCTGGGAGTGGTGGTACATGCCTGTAGTCTCAGCTACTCAGGAGGCTGAGGCAGGAGAGTTATTTGAACCCAGGAGGTGGAGGTTGCAGTGAGCTGGGATCATGCCACTGTACTCCAGTCTGGCAACAGAGTAACACTCTATCTTTAAAAAAAAAAAAAAAAAAAAAAAAAAAAAAATTACACGAATGCTTGGTTTTTGAATCTGGATTCTTTCCCTGTCATCATATCTCAAATGAATTTATTGTTCTTACAGAAAACTTTCCATTAACATTGGTGACAGAAAAAAAGCCAAGGACTTTAAATAATAGAACTCAAAACTAGTGGTGAAGAAATAAAAGTTTCCATTATCTGAATGTCCCCTTTTTTTACCTTTTAGCCTAGTAGAATAAAAGTACTTTTAAAATAAACGTATTGGTTATGAAACTGCCCAATAATGAGGATGATAACAACTTACCTGCCAGAACCCACCTGACTTTAATTATTTTGCTAAATTCTCACAACTGTTGAATTCAATACTATTGGCCTCATTTTAAAGATGAAGAAATTCGTACTTAGAGACCATTAATAACTTGTACCAAGCAGTGGATCTGAACTGGAACCCAGGTCTTTCTGATTGCAGGTTCCAAGCTCTAAACCGCTAAGCCAGACACTTGTCTTTTTAAAGCAAGTGTTCTTCCACTGAGGGAGGTCATAGCTACAGGAAATTCAGCAGCATCCTCTCTTCTGCAGAATTATGATTTCTGAATTATGAAACTAACTAAACTCTCATTACTGGAAAAAAAAATCATCAGGGAAGACAACCCTTCTGTCCAGGAGTCAAGTAAATGTATTGTTTCAATAGAGAGTATGTTGTGTTTGTGTCTAAAATAGTGATAATTATGTCACTCCCTAATGCATGGAAAAGGAGACTCTGGTGTTTCTAGTAAGCTGTTTACAGCAAGAACTTTTAGAATATAAATACTGTGTCTATTATATAGCATTTTCTACCAATAGCATCATTGTTCCCCTCCATATGTTCTTCCGCTAGGTGTCTAATGAGTTCCTACATATGAAAAATGACAAGAGAATCTGAGGAATAATTCAAGCAACTGCAGCATATGGAAACATTGTTTTCTAGTCCCTTTGCCATGATTTCTAGGCAAAACAGCAGGAATACCTGGCAGCCGAGGCTAGAAAAATCATCATCCCTGACTGTAACTTCGACTGAGTTATCTCACACAAATGTCAGGCTTTGAGTTGACAGTGATAATGATAAAAAAGGAAATTTTTCTGTCAGAATTTGATACATACACTCTATTGTTCATTCTACAGTGAATATTCCTCTGCCCCTAAGCTTAATTCCACAAGTCTATGAAAGGAGTCATTAGGACTTTTGCGTCTAGTGCATTTAGCTTTCCATCATTTATGAAACCCTCTTATGTTTCTGAGTGTTGTGTGCTCCTCTGAATTCTTGTGAGGTTTTGCCAGATAAGCTTTTTTCAATAAGACGGTTCCCAATCCAGAGTTCTGCTTCTTCTCCATTCAATGAAGGACACACTAACACTTTTGAGACAAGGTAGTAGAGAGATGTAATATAGTGAGATGTGACTCTCCATCCCCTTTATCCTTCCTGATCCTTAATGTAATGATTGTGCAACTGCAATTTATTCTGTATTCCACCTATAGACATGTATCCATTCATCAATGTACCCGTTCACAAATATATTGAGGACACTCCTAGACAGAACAACTCAATAATTCCTTCCACCATACATTTGTTTAGTGCTGTCTACTAGTATATACATTTACTTATTTGACTACATTCCAGTCCCCAGTTTGGACTTAAGGCATTTATGACAGTAATAGAATTGATACAGTCTTCATTTGTTATTGCCACTACTTTTCTGTATTTTTTTTTTAATTTTAAGTTCTGGGGTACATGTGTAGGATGTGCAGGTTTGTTACATAGGTAAACATGTGCCATGGTGGTTTGCTGCACCTATCAACCTATCACCTAGGTATTAAACCCAGAATGCATTAGCTATTTTTCCTGATGCTCTCCCACACCCACACCCTCCTGCAATCGGCCTCAGTGTGTGTTGTTCCCCTCCATGTGTCCATGTGTTCTCATTATTCATCTTCCTCTTACAAGTGAGAACATGAGGTGTTTGTTTTTCTGTTCCTGCATTAGTTTGCTGAGGATAATGGCTTCCCGCTTCATCCATGTCCCTGCAAAGGATATGATATTGTTCCTTTTTATGGCTACATAGTATTCCATGGTGTCTATGTAGATTTTTTTAATCCAGTCTACCATTAATGACTGAATTTGAGTTGATTCCATGTCTGTACTACTATGAATATTGCTGCAATGAACATGCACATATCTTTATAATAGAATGATTTATATTCCTTTGGGTATGTACCTAGTAATGGGACTGCTAGGTAAAATGGTATATTCAGTTCTAAACCTTTGAGGAACCATTACATTGTCTTCCACAATGAATGAACTCCCATTCACAATTGCTACAAAAAGAATAAAATACCTAAGAATACAGCTAAAAAAGGAAGTAAAGGACCTCTTCAAGGAGAACTACAAACCACTGCTCAAGGAAATAAGAGAGGACACAAACAAATGGAAAAACAGTCCATGCTCATGGAGAGGAAGTATCAATACCATGAAAATGACCATACTGCCCAAAGTAATTTCTAGATTCAGTGCTATTCCCAGTAAAGTACCATTGACATTCTTCACAGAATTAGAAGAAACTATTTTAAAATTCATGTGGAACCAAAAAACAGCCTGTAGAGCCAAGACAATCTTAAGCAAAAAGAACAAAGCTGGAGGCATCATACTACCTGACTTTAAACTACATTACTAGGCTACAGTAACCAAAACAACATGGTATTTTTACAAAAATAGACACATGGAACAATGGAACAGAATACAGAACTCAGAAATGATACAGCACACCTACAATCATCTGATCTTCGACAAACCTGACCAAAAAAATGGGGAAAGGATTACCTGTTTAATAAATGGTGCTGGGAGAACTGGCTAGTCCTATGCCGAAAAATGAAACTGGATCTTTTCCTTACACTTCACACCAAAATTAACTCAAGATGAATTAAAGACTTTAATGTAAAATCCAAAACTATAAAAACCCTAAAAAAAATCTAGGCAATACCATTCAAGTATTCAGGACATAGGTAAGGGCAAAGATTTTATGATGAAATCTCCAAAAGCAATTGCAATGAAAGTGAAAATTGACAAATGGGATCTAATTAAACTAAAGAGCTTCTCCACAGCAAAAGAAGCTATCATCAGAATGAACAGACAACCCACAGAATGGGAGAAAACTTTTGCAATCTATCCATCTGACCAAAGTCTAATATTCAGACTCTATGAGGAACTTAAGCAAATTTATAAGGAAAAAAAAAACACTAAAAAGTGGGCAAAGGACATGAACAGACACTTCTCAAAAGAAGACATTCATGCAGCCAACAAACATATGAAAAAAAGCTCAAGATCACTGATCATTAGAGAAATGCAAATCAAACTTACAATGAGATACATTTCACCCCATGCAGAATGGTGATTATTAAGAAGTCAAGAAATAACAAACGCTGGTAAGCTTGCGGAGAAATAGAAACATGGTTACACTGTTGGTGGGAATGTAAATTAGGCAACTACTTTTCATTTTGGCTATATTAATTGTTGTGTAGTAATATCTCACTGTTTTTTGATTTGCATTTCCCTAGTGGCTAATGATTTTGAACACGTTTTCATCCACTTATTTACCATATTTATATTCTACTCAGTGAAATATTTATTCACGTGTCTTCTGTCCATTTTCTACTTGAATTGCTTGGTTTTTAACTGTTGATTTTTGAGAGTTCTTTATATATTCTAGACATTAGTTCTTTATTGGACACGTGGTTCAAAAATATTTTCTCCAAGTCTGTGGCCTGTCTTTTCAACCTTTTCATATAGTTTTTCACAAAGCAAAAGTTTTTAATTTTGATGAGGTCCAAGTTAGCATTTTTTCCTTTTATGAATCATGTTTTAGTCTCAAGCCAAAAAAGTATGTGCCTGCATTTATATCCCAAATATTTTCTTCCATAGTTTTCTAAAATCTTTATAGGTTTACATCTTACATTTAGGTCCCTAATCTGTTTTGAGTTAGCTTTTGTATAAGTGGAAAGTTTAGGTTAAGATTTTCTGTTTGTCTGTTTTGCGTATGAATATTCAAATGCCCCAAGACCATTTGTTGAAAGGTTGATTTATATTTTGAAAAATCCATTCTGACTACTGTGTGGAGAATAGAGTGTAGGAATAGGAATAGGCTGATTAGTTAAGAAACTTTTTCATTTTTATAGGTAAGAGATTATGGTGAATAGGAGTGAGGTGATAGGAGAGGAAAGAGGGAAAACTAAATGCAGAGTATTTGGAGCTATAGAGTTAATAATACTTGCTGATGAATTTGATGTGCATGTAAGAAAAGAAGAACAGAATCAATGATGATTCTGAGTTTTTAACATGAAAACCTGAGCATATGGTGATTATATTTACAAAATTAGTGGAAACTGAAAGAAGGCTTGGAGGTTGAGACAGAATCAAAAGTTCTGTTTTGTCCATATTCTGTTAGACATCTGAGTGGAGATGTCAAGTAGGTTGCTGGAGTAATGTGACTGGCATTCAAGGGTAAGATCAGGCTGAAGATACACATTTGGGGAGTCATCAGCATGGATGACATTACTTAGAGAGGAAGTCTAA